ACACACACACACACACACACACACACACACACACACTAATTGTTTATGTATCTTGGATACCAAACCCTTATCAGAGAAATTTGGTGCAAAGATTTTTTCCATGTGACTGCTTCCTGCAAAGGGCTGTTTCTAACCAGACCAGGAACAAGGTACCTGTCCCTACAAATGTAGAATACAATGTAAGCGTGTCCAGAGCTTTGCCGATTAGCAAAGGGTACTTGAAATTTCTTTGGGTTGTACAAAGTACTGGATTGTGATTTCTTTTTCTTGCCATCTGTAGGTTGCACAGTATCTGACTTCCCAATTCTATGCCATGAATTATAGCCTTCGGCAGCGGATGGACATCCTAGATGTAAGTGCTACGCAGGCTTCTTTGTGTTTTCCCCTATCAGCTCCAGGAGGTGTGAAAGTGGTATGTGGGAGCAGCAGATGAACAAAATAGATGAGGCAGGCATTAGGGCATCTCTTTTGAACTCACTGGAGTGCCAGGTGGTAGATGTTGTCAGAGTCCAAGTGGGCAAGGATCAGGACCTCCGTGAGGATTTTTGCAATTGAAATGGAGAAAAAAAAAGAAGGTTTTGCAGATACTTATTGAAAAGTGAAAGAGAGAGGGGGCAGCTAGGTGGTGCAGTGAATAGAGCACTGGCCCTGAAGTCAGGAGGACCTGAGTTCAAATGCGACCTCAAACCAAACACTTGACACTTACTAGCTGTGTGACCCTGAGCAAGTCATTTAACCCCAATTTTGCCTTAAAAAAAAAAAAAGAGAGGGCCTTGGAGTCAGGAGGACCTGATTTCAAATTTGGCCTCAGACACTTGATACTTATTATCTATGTGACCTTTGGCAAGTCACTTAACCCTGAATTCTCACCAAAAAAAAAAAAAAGTGAAAGAGGATTTAAGAGTGGGTTCTTGAGAGAAAGAGGAAATGGGGCATCCAGTAGTGCTATGCCATAGTTTATTAGTTCCCCAGGATTCCCTTAGGGATGGGAACAGTAGGGGGAGAGTGGGGAGGAGCAGATCAGTGAGTTGGGTAGTAAGTAATGTGAAGGTGCCATGAAAAAATTATAGCTTCTTTTGTGCATCTTCTCCCTTTTCACCTCCAGTAGCAAAATATGATGACAGAGTCACACTAATGGTTCTAGAGTTAAAGTTTTGTGTTCTCATCAATATTTGGCCTCTTAAAAGTATGCAAGTTTCTGGAGAACAGATGTTATATCTTATATGTAGCTTGTCTGGGTTACTTTGCATCCTTGATTACATAACATGTTAATTTTTGGAGATGAATTTTTCCCTTTGGTTCTGGGCATGGGTGCTTTTGGACTTGGTACTTGACTCTTTAAAAAAATTTATTTAGTATTTTATTTTTCCCCAGTTACATGTAAAACTGTAATTCCCAATTACATGTAAAAACATTTTAACATTAGATTTTAAAATTTTGAGTTCCAAATTTTCTCCCTTCCTCTTTTCCCATCTTCCTCATTGTGAAGACAAGCAATGTGATATAGGTCATACGTGTGTATTGACTTGACTTTCATTAAAGTTGTTCTAGTCTCAAAGAGAAAAGTAAATTTTCTGGGGTGCTCCCTTTCTTCCTAGGTGTTGGTTCTTGCAGCTCAGGAACTCTCAAGCCCCAGGAGCCTAGAAAAAGCCAAGATCCCTGGTCGTCCTGAGCCTAGTGTCCAGCTCTTGCCTGCCCCACTGACCCCCAGTCTCAACATAGTTCCTTCTGACGGCTGGAGAAGAGTTGTGGAGGAGAGGATCAAAAACAAGACACGCCGGTTTGCCAAGGTAGAGCCAGGACTTGGGGGTGGAGAAAAGGGCCCCCGAGCTAATCTGCGCGTGCGTGTGTGCGTGTGTGTGTGTGTGTGTGTGTGTGTGTGTGTGTGTGTGTGTATTAGGAGCAGGAAGGGTAAATCTGGAGAGTAACATGGCACTGATGCTGCCATTCTAGGATTTAGAAGTTTATAATGCTACAAACCGAGCAATATGATGTAGGGTTTGGGGATAGTCATATTTAATTTTTTTTTTTTATATTAAATTTTTTAAAATTTCCATGCATCTATATCAGTAGCACTGAGCTTCTTCCCTTAAGTAGGCTGGGCTGCTGCAGTATATAATCTCTCTTGGTGAAGCATGAGCCCCTGGGGTATGGTAGGAGGTGGGGGTAGGGGTGGGGGGCTTCTTTTTGTCCTGTGTAGCATTTTGCATACTTTCCAAATGGCACCAATTCCATCATTTATGGTCTGGTCCTGATCCACAGTGGATTGAACACACAGGATCTTTGGAATGGACATAGGGCAAATATCATGGGGAATCAAGATGTCCATTTGCAGCAGCAGCAGAGGCTCAGGGCAGGGCCAGTCTGGGAGAACTGGCCTTCTGCTTGGCAAGGGTGAGGGAGGAGGGAGGGAATGGGAGGAGCTGCTATATAACTCTCATTCTTTATGGCAGGGTTCTTCCAGATCCAGTACAGCAAATGGACCCAACAAGTTTAATTCTGTGGTTGGTTATTTCTTCTTCCCTCTTATTGAACGTTTTGACAGGTGAGTGGGGTTCCCTGGACACTTGTGTATTAGGATGAATGGGAGCCGTGGAGGGCAGACTGTTGAATTTAGTAGAGTCACCGAATGGTCACCAAGCACCTAATGTGTGTAAGGCCATGAGCTCGGTGCTGATGCAGAGGTGAGTAGGAAATAGCTTCTGCCCTCCCGTAGGTGGTAGTTGTCTCCTTGGCAGAAGAACACTGAGGCTAACTCCAGAGTTTGGAGGCCTGGTGCTTAGGTCACTGGGCAAGATTGGCATCAGCTCCTCTCAAGGGTTTCACATCTTATCTCATTTGATCCTCATAATTATTCCCTGGATACTATCTTAGTTTGACAAATGAAGAAACAGACTGAGAGAGGAGGCAGGATGACTTGGTGGCTGTCACTTTTTTGGTTAGTGACAAAGCCAGGCCCAGAACACAATACATCCCCTGACTTGGATGGCTTGCAGCCTGCCGCAGCGGATGAAGGGGTGGATCTGGAGTAGTCAGGAAGACCTAGGTTTGATTCCCTCCTCTTACAAATGCCTCCTACCCTCTGAGCCTCAATTCCCTCATCTGTAAAATGGGAATAATAACTGTTATCATCTGCCTTATAGGGTTTTGTGAGGCTCAAATGGAATGAAGTATGTGCAGTGCTCGGCACATTTTAAAGCATTCTGCAGATGCTGGTTATTACTTCCACTCTGCTACGCTGCCTTCATTTCACCTGTGTGTGTTTTGTTTGGCCACTCTGTAGCCCCTGTAGCACCTAGTACAGAATACTGCCTTCTGTAGACACTTAACAGAATCCTTGGGAGGCCAAAAGTATACAAAGAAATCATTTCTTCTGGTGCAGGCCAGATGCTACTGTGAGCACTAGAGAAATGGTTTGGCGTGTCCATAATGGACAGGATAGTGGAGAGGAGGCTGAACTTCTGTCAGTGGGTGTTCACTTTGTTGGCCCTAATACAATTGTGTGGGGAATTAGGCCACCAGGGGGCCTTATTGGTTCATCCCTCTTCAAGTTGTTCAGCCCTAAAAGAAGAAATTGGGTGGCTGTGAGTCTTTCTCTTTTTTTGCAGCAGATGGTATGGGTGTGGGCTCTGATGTGGTGCAGAAAGCTCAGAGCTCCAGCCTTGTGGTAGCTTTCTCATTTTCTTTGCCTCATGTGATGGAGGAGGCAGGCTTTAAGGAACTTTGCTAGAAGAGTTCCCAAGAAAAGCCAGTTGCTTCTCCTTGAGTGGGTCTAGAAGAGAATGGACCTGATATTTGGAATCCAAGTTTAGCCAGTCTAGATATTAGAACTCACATGAGAACTCTATATTGCAGGCCGCTTGTGACTTTTGACCTTTTGGGAGAGGATTCTTTGGTCTTGGGAAGACTAGTTCACACCGTGGGAATCCTGATGTATTTTGCCATTAATACCACAGTAAGTGGAGAAGGAGGTATGAGATCTGGATGCTTAGAGCTTCTGCTTTCATCAGATGAATTGGGGAAATGGAATTACAAATCCTGATCAATGGATAGATTGAGGTTTTAGCTTCCGTAGAAATAAAGTTCAGCTTGAAATTTGGGTATAGGATCCCATAGTAATAGCATGTAAGAGCTAGGAGGGACCTTAAAAATAATTTATCCTAACCTTTTCATTTTGCTAAGAATAAACCTAAAGCCCAGGAACAATAAGGACCTTGCTTGAGATTAGTCTGATCGTTGGACCAGAGTGGTCTCGGTCTGAATTTCCGAGTAGAGGGCCACTTGCCTCTGAGTTCAGAGAAGGAAGTACAGGTGTTAACTTTTGTCAGCTCTCTAGTAGGATTCTGTTATTTTTCTGGAGCCTTAATAGCCTGTTAATGAATCCAGAGAACTGAATCAAAGGCCAGCCCTAGAGCCTCTCTGTAGAGGTCACACTTAATGTTTACCTTTTGCATGCCAACTCCATGGGGTGGCACACATCCTAACAGCTGTGGTTTGTGGTTTCTAGGCAGCTGTGCCAATGGGGAAGGCGCTGTTGGAGTTTGTGTGGACACTTCGTTTTCATACAGATGCGTGAGTGTGCCTTCTGGATAGATCTCTTCCTGTCTTCAAAGAATATTTATAGGGCACTTGAGATATGATGAGTGGTTGGGGGGAAAACTCTTTTGTGGGGACCAGTTTGGAGTATAAGTGAGCTTCTTAAACATCGTATCATCCTCTTCCAGAAGAGAGAAGTATGCTATCAAGTCTTCAAAGGGACTGAGGTAGATGAGGAACAGCTAAATCTGGGAAGTTCTAGAGACACAAAATATGGCCATTCCTGATCTCTTTAGGGGGTCTAAGTATTTTACCAGGTGACCTGTTGGTCCCTTTTTTAGGACCTTTGGGGGCTGGTAGTCTTCTCTACTAAATAGATAGTAGAAAAGTTTAGAAGCCTGTACCCAGCCTAATGATAAGAATAGAGCTGTTGGAGTCAGCTTTAGTGGACAGTAAGAAATGTCTCTGTTTAGTAGAAATCCTGAAGGGCCTTCTTGTGTGCCAGCCCCTTTAGGACACAGTGATAAAGTTTTTATTTGCTAGGAACTTGGCTCCATCTGTGCAAACCTGACAAAGTTAAAGGTAACACATACTGTAGTGGGGGTGGAGGGAAAGAAATTTGAAGTGGACCTGATTCATCCGTTTATCACTGTATGGTAGGTATGTGCGTCAAGGCCTCCTGTACTCCATCTCCTCGATACTCTGGAGTGTTCCTGCGGAGCGCCTTCTAGGGGATCTGACGGATGAGCTCCTAGAAACCAGGTCCTGGCTGGCAGGTAAGCCTCACTGTGATGACTGAACCTTGCCTGGCATAGGAAAGAAGGTGACCATGAGAGGGGCTCTTTATTGCACAGCAGTCTTCTGGGAAGCTGGAGATCTGGGTCCCAGAAGGAGTCATAGCCTGTGGATCAGGGTAGCTGACTGAACAAAATGCAGCAGGATTGAGCTGTCACTGGGGAGGAAAAGATTGAATCTTGATCTCAGTGATTTGGTGATATTAGTAATAACTTACATTTATATAGGACTTAATAGTTTATAAGGCATTTTCCTCATAACATCTGTGTGTGATAGTGTTAATATCCCCATTTTACAGCTGAGGAAACTGAGCCTTAGAGGGAAGTAAGTTGTCCACAGTCATCCAGGAGTAAGTACTTTTCTTGACCTGGGTCTCCTGAGCTTTTCCCATTCTATCATGTTGTCATGGTCCAGTTCACACAGCATTTATAGCTATATTCCAGACACACGTGGTCAGTGCAGGGTAACAGTAACTACTATACCACTGGCTTGTACTGAGTACTTATGTTTCAAAGGAACAGGAAGTTCTGAATTCCTCATTATTGCTGGTGTTTAAGGATTTTGTGAGTGAATGTTTAGTTATTTCCCAAGACTACGGGAAGGTGGAAAGAGTGGTGCTGCCTTGGACCGTCTAGTCCGCTCATGTGGTACCTATGAAATGACACACTGCTGACTTTGGGGAGGAATTCTGGGTGGGTCCACAGGGCTTCCTTCCAGAGCAGCAGGACATGGCTGCCTGTCACCACAAGGAGTTTGTTTCCAAAATCTATTCACTGGCTCTGACAGCCCAATATTTTTGAGTCTGTATTTCCCTAGGAGATTCTTAAGCCAGTTCAATGATTTGAGTGGCTTAATGAGTCATCTTAGAAGGTTAGTTCAGCATACATGATCTATGAAGAATGAATTTTCACATCCAGAGACCTCAGTCCTAATGCACAGAGATAGGTGCTATGCCAGTATGATGCCTGTTGCCCTCTCGGTGTTTTATTTGAGAAAAAACAAACCAAGGAGATTTAACTGAGCCTTAATAAATTGGGCTTGAGAATTACTAGCTCATTTTAGGTGGCTCACACAGGAGCCTGTGGCTAGCATGCAGAGAACTCTGGTGGCTGATTTCCCATGTGTCTCCCCCCTCACTGAGAGGAGACTGAGTACATGCTCCATAGATTTTCTTAACATAGACAGCCCTCCTGTTCCTTCCTCCTCTCTGTCAGTCTCAGATGGCTGTCTGTATTAGAGGTATTCTAGTCCCTGAATCCATTGTTGCCTTTGTACATTCTGACTTCCCTTGGTTCAATGTGGCCCTTTCCCTACATTGATTTAATTTGTTCTCATAAAATTTGTTCTTTGCAAATGACAGGCTTCCTGCCAAAGTCCAGGGGAGGGAATTCCCCTCTTATTCTTGGCAGGTATGGAGCCACAGAGTGACTAAGGAGCATTAAGGGAGGTGGTGGGAAGATCTGACTTCTCAATTCATGGCTTTTTGGTGCTGCCTTCCTTCCTCTGCAATGCCCAGAGCTGTGGCAGCAGGTTTGGCACCAGCATGTGAGGCAGTCTTCTCATGGAGCAGCTCCAGCTAGGATGGTGGTATGGAAAGGGCACTATTTCATTTAGAAGATTGGACTTTAAGTCCTGGCTCTGACACTAGCTGGCAAATGAAACTCACTGTGTTTTAGTTTATTCAGCTGCACAATAGGGAAAAAAAGTTATTATCTAGTTCACATTGTTGTGGGGAAAGTGCTTTGTAACCCTTACAGCACTATGTAAGCATCAGTATCATCGTCATCCCCATGACAGCAGCACAGGAGATGGAGCATTAAAAGGACATCAAGGCACCTTGTAGCTGCAATGGGGACTCTGGTCCTGTTCTTTTGCTTCCAGGTTAGTGTTGAGCTGGGGTCAGAAGGCTGGAGCTAGACTGGCAAAAATAATCCCACTCCCTAGCATGAGTCCTGGCTGGGCAGGACCCTAGGCTGTGTTGGGAGCATATGGCCTGTGCGTACAGGATTTCCTCCTGTGGCCTCCCTGCTGTTCCAGTCTCTCCCCACTTGGACATCCTGAGTGCATCCTGGTTTTTACTTTGCCAAACTCATTAAAATCCCCTGAAATAATAGCTGCCAACAAAGATTCCCATGCGTAGCTACAGGTCTAGGAGATAAGTGGCTTTTGTGGTGAAGAGTTAAGGTTCTCCATTTTATCCCAGATTTCCCTGGGTAGGTCCCCAAATTGTGTTCCTCATTCATACAAGAACAAAAATGGTACCTCTTATCGCTCTCAATAAGTATTTGAAGTGCCTACCATATGCCCATTGCTTACAAAGTCTGAGGTAATAGAGGCATCATCCTGAAAGGTGTCAGATCTCTTGGAGGACCTCCACAGCATTAGCACTTACTTAGTGACCTGAGCCTTCCACATGCCTGTGGCTGAGATGACAGAGTTCTCCTTCAAGGGTAGGTACTTATGTCTATACTTGACCTGGAGTCAGGAAGACCTGAGGTCAAATCCGTCTCAGATGCTTGCTAGCTGTGTGACCCAGTTAACTTCTACCTCAGTTTCTTCAACTGTAAAATGGGGATAATAATAGCACCTATCTCCCAGGTGTTGAGGATGAAATGTGATATTTGTAAAGCTCTTTGCAGATCTTAAAGTGCCATGTAATCATCATTGTCGACAACTTTCCACACAGTGAGTACTCAGTAAATGTTGACTAACTCTTCCCCCAGAACAAAGTTAGCAGAGCCGACTTTCAGGTAAAGTTCACGCTATTTGTTTTAGTCGACGCCTCTCCGTGGCTGCTTTAATCTCTAGTTAAGACTTGACGAGATAGAAGAGAAAGTTGGCTCATGGAAAACTGGAATTGGTAAAGCCTGTTCAGTAGCCCCACTCAGAGGAACCTTTCTTCCACTGAATAGCCCCTTGACTGCTGAGGAAACTGATAGCTGGAGCCCTCTCCCTAACTCACATCACTTGCTGGAATCATCATGCCCTTTTTCTGCCTTTGTTAGCACTGCCATGATGGCAAGTAGGTTTGAGTTCTTCTTTGGTAAGAAGTTACAGATTCTTTTTTCAGAGATGGTTCTCTTGGAGTCTTGGAGACACACAGGGTTAGTCATAGAATGTATGTAATTACTTGCTAGTCAGAGCTGGAGCTGGGTAGAGCCAGAGGTCCTTGTGGGCTCTTCTCACATTTCTTCAAGTTGAGCTGTGATTTTCTGAGGGGAGCTGGCTGTATTCAGAGGAGTTACCTGGGCTTTTTTTGTTTGTTTATTTGTTTCCTGGGTATCCATCCCTAGGACTCTTGTAGTGCATTATGGAACTTAACTTCCCAGGCTTGCTAGGTGGCCAATTTGCTCCAGTTTATCTTTGAATGCTAAGATGATGGATGGAGCTTGTCAGGGGCGTAGGCCCTTTCCATTTTAAGACAAAAGTGTCTTGAACATGTGATTTTGTTTCTTTTGCAGCTGTAGCAGAGAATGACCCAGATGAAGACTGTAGGAAGCTGGCCATGCAGGCACTCCTACTTATGGAAAAGCTAAAAGACAAATTCCAAATAGGTTCTTCTTAGTCAATCCCGATGCCCTTAACCTGGCCCCACAGGTGGCCTGATGGGATTTTTGGGCCATCACCTGGCTGGCAAAGAGGAAGGCAGGGAAGGCTTCACTGAAAGCCAGGGAGAAACAAGGGCCTGGCCTGACATCTGGGCTTTGTAGTGGCAGCCAACTCTGTGAAATATTGATATCCGGTACTGAGTGTACAGATGCAGGAAAACGCAGTAGAGTTGCTGTCTTCCTCCCCTCCCCCTGCACACTGAATATGCTATTTTTAGTCTGGCAAGTTTGAGTCTTCAGCTAAAAATACAGCAAGCCCTGTAGAGCCACTGCCTCTGTACAAAGACAGCAGGAGCAGAGTCCAAGATTTCTCTTACTGTTTCATTGAATCTTGTTATTCGGGTTGAAAGGTGTTTGGTCATAAAGCTAAAAAAGAAGGAAGAGTCTTAATAGAGACTTAGCTTCTGTGAAATTTCTTCACATTAAAAGGCTATTTTGTTGTAAGAGGAACTGAAGGGGAAGACTAAAGGTATGTGAGGGAAAGGAATGGAAAAGCAACGAGTCACTTCTGATTAAGGATTAGTTCTGCACTTGAAGAGAACTTCTCCAGGACTGGATCTGAAGAGTATGTGGAGGCCCACCCTGCCATCCCCCTCGCAGTATAAACTGTGACCTTCTATCCCGAAGCTGCTTTTCTTCTCCCATCTTCTTTTTCCCAAAGGTACAGCTGTAGGATAGAATAAAGGCTCTTCTCTTTGCTTGCCCATCCCCCACCCAGGGCAGAGTTGCAGGGTTTTGAAAGGAGTGGGTACGTTTAGTGAAGATGTAGGCCCTGTGTCTGTGCAGGGCTGGGCCCAGGCTGGTTTTCCTAAAGTGGTCTCTGCTGCATACCCCTGGGGCAAGCTTTGCTCGGACTGGATTTGTTGAGGTGATTAATTTGCTAGGCCAATTTCCTCTCATTTTCATTCCACTGCACATTCGCCAATTTATAGCCATAGCGCTCACAGTGTGCTGCAAAGGAGAGGACATAAGTTTTGTGCTTGGCCCTGAGAAAAGAGAAAGGGCCAAAGGCCTCTATAGACAAAGCTAGAATGGGGTAGGGGTGGGGGGAAGGATGGGGGGCACCTAGCTTTCCACATGTCATGAAGGGGTTCTTGATGGAGTCCTGAGACTTAATGCCCTTGTAGGGTGTTGCTAGACCTGCCTATTAAAGAAGTTAAACAGAGGCTGGCAAAGGGTCCCTGGACACAGCTGGATTCAATTATCATGAGATTTCTTTGTGTCATAAAATTCCAAGGAAGGGATTCAAAGCTAAGGAAACACCAGTGTGGGAAGTAGCAACTAAGAGCAAGCCACCCCTCCTGCTGGAGCACAGAGCCTGGGGTCCGTTGTCCTCCCCCGACACAAGGATATCCCACTGGAGTCGCCAGTAGCTTCAGTGTCAACTCTGCCTTGACAAGGCATGTTGGTGTAATAGGTAGAGAACTGGCCTTGAAGTCAGGAAGAGATGGATTCAGGTCCTCAGACTCATGCTGACTGTGGGATCGCGGGCCTGTAATCTAACCTCTGGTGATCTGGGTCAAAGCTGGCAGACTCGCCAGCAGAGGGCCCAGCACAGCCAGAACCAGATGAAAATGTAACTGGGAAATACTGAACACAATAAAAATGTAATACACCATCATGTTAATTTGTGATTTTCCAAGTCAATATGTGGCCTACCGGGATCTGTTTCTATTTGGGTTGGACACTTCTCTGGGCAACTCTTAAAACAGTTAAGGTGGAGAGAAGGTGCTACCCCTTATTAGTAGAAGGAGTTTCCGCACTTGAGAGTGCCTTAAACATATGATGAAGTCACAGGTCCAGTACCCAATCTTATCTTTTTTTATACAGATTTGCTTTGCACCCTTCACCCCACCCCAGTTGAACCCTAAAAGACACTATCATTCTGTTCCTTGGATTTTGGATGCTTTTCATCCTAATATAGAAATGTTAGGAAAGAAGCTAAGACTCTGTGAGGACCCAAATGGTATGTATGTGGGCCATGGAACCTTTCATCCAAAGGCAAAGATTTGGAGACATAAAGGTATAGAAACAACTTTTTAAATATAAAATCAGAATTTTTTAAAATGTGGAAATTTAAAAACAAAACAACCACCACTATCAGCAGTCTTCTTTCCCTTCAGGCACCTCCATGCTGAAGTTTCCTAGTTCTTGCTGTAGCTCTGGGTGCTTAAATAAGAAAAAGTTCCAGGTGTTTTTTGTTTTTGGGTTTTTTTCCCAGCAAGGAATAGCTTTTTCAACTGTAGAGTACACAGGTAAAGCAAGTAGATGATGCAGTATGCTCTTAATGCCACCTGCTGTTTATCTGGGTGGTCAGTCAGGAGTCATCCTCCACCTCCTCTATCACTTCCTCATCTACCTCTTTGCCATCTTCCATACTGTTATGGCGGATTCGCTCAGGCATGATGCGACTCAGTGGGATGCCGAGTCCTCGATGTACTGCATCCATGGTCCGCTGGTTCACGTAGTATGTCAGGTTTGCAGATGGAAGCCTCTTCCGGATCTCCTCAAGGTATCTGTAGGCCTGTGTCAAAAACAGCTAGTTGTTTGCCTTCTACCATATCTACAACAACTAAGGTAGGATTAGACAGTTACATACTCAAACCACAAATGAGTATCTTCCATATGTATCATGCTAACATGAGCTAGAGCCCGGAAAACCCCTATTCACTGTAGTAGATTTGGAAAATAATTCAGAGTCCCTGCTGAATGGGGCAAGAATAGTTTTAATATTTTTGAAATGAATGGAAGACATAGGAATTAGTATGAAATTGCTGCTTAGCTTTTGTCAAGAGCCTGTGGTGTCATACCAGCAAGTTATAAGAGTGATATGAATTAATATATCAGACTCAGTGGTTGATGTCAATTCAGTAATAGCAGTATCACCACATCACCGAAAGCTGCTGAATGAGTTTGACAACACCGTTTTTATATATTTGCTTTGATACCCTCCAAAGCTGTATTTTTATTTATATATATATATGTATGTATACTATATGCATGTATGTATATACTATATGTAGATATGTATACTATATATGTATATGTATACTATAATATATATAAAAATAATATATGTAAGAAATTTTCAACAACTTCTTTGTACACTGAAACTACCTACTATTCTGCAGATTTTATTATATTTAAAAACAAATAATAATGCAAGCAAAACTATCTGTGTAGGGATGGCTCTTGAGGGCTTGGATGAGCAAGAGCACAATTATGTAGGGATAACAAGAGGCTTAAAAACAAATGGGAAAAGATAGATCGAAGAAACAGAACTCTAGGGGTTCCTGCTCCACTCCACTGAGGGCCTACCCTAGTAGGCCATATTTGTTCAGGTAAAGTAAAACAGCCTTTTAAAAGTTCCACTTGAAAAAAAAAAAGTTCCACTTGCAAAGGAATATTTACTGGACCTTGTCTGCTGTTTCTTAAAAGAGACTCAGACAATATAGGGAAGAATTGTTTTTTTCCTAACCAATCAACCAACATTTTAAAAATATCAATGGTATATATATATATATATCACTAGGGCTGCAAAAATTTGAGTCATTATCCCAAATAAGCTTATAATCTGGTAGGGAATATGACATGTATTTATGAAAATACAGTATATATTGACAAAACCATAATCATTAAAAATTTAGGAGAGGAACATCACTTTTAAGGAGGTAGGACTGCAACTAGGCTTTTTAAGATGGATGGGATTTATGCAGAGAAGAATAAGAATGTGTGAACTGCGTAAGAAAAGATGAAGTATGAAAGGATGATTTATGAAAGCATGAAGTGAATTCAGGGGACCTTTCAGATCATATCCAGTTCAGGGCTCATGTAGGACAGTAGAGGGAAATAACACTGAAAAGGTAAGCCAGAAACCAGATCATAGAGGGTCCTAAATGTCTGCATCTCATTTTATAGGATATGGAGAATCACTGAAATTTTTTTAAAAAATCTTGATAATTTCTGTTTCAATATATCAAATGACCCACGGAATACTCCCAAGTGAATATCCCACATTGTAAAATTCCTGAAAAGAATTAAACAAAATAACATAAAAGAGCAACTCTGATTGATAGTACATGTAAGCTCACACTTTAGTATATTTCTATTTGGTAAAAGAAAGGATGGGTGTGTGCTTTATAAATTAACATGTTGTTCAGTGTTTTTTATTTTTGAGTTTTGTTGCCATTTAAAGTTGTTCTTTACATAGTTGTAGTAATTATATATATTGTTCTTTTGACTTAGTTTCATTCTTTACCATTTTATAAAGTGAATTCATATAGATATCATTTATTATGACTTATGTTTATTTTTACATGCCAGTTTGTTTAGCTATTGCCCAATTAGGGCCATAGTAGGTTTCCAACTTGTTGCTTTTACAAAGATTGCTTCTATGAATATTTTTATATGCATAAGTCTTTTCTTATTAATAACTTCCTTGGGATACAAACCCAATAGTGAGATTAGTGGGTCAGAAATTTCTTGCACAATTTCATCTCTTGTTTTCATAGATCTACCAGTAGTGGAAAAAGTAGAAAAAGTGCCCGTTTTCTTTCATCCTTATCGGTAATGATTTTTACAGTCTGCAAATTTGATGGGTTTGAGGTTGTATCTCAGAGCTGTTCTGATTTTCATTTCTCTGATGGGCTATTTTGAGCACTTATTTTGAGAAGTGTTTGTTCATATCCTTTGATATTAATCTATTAGCAAATGGCTCATAATAGTAAGATTTATTTCAATTTCATCAAAGATATTTTTTGTAGATATTTGTTCAAGTGTGTATCTTATTTTGGCTGCATTTATTTGTACAAAAGCTTTTTGCTTTTACAAAAATAATCAATTTTGTGTTTTATAATATTCTCCCTGTTGTTGCTGGTTACAAATCCATCTAACCCTTGTCACAACTATGAGAGATATAACCTTCCATTTTCCTATAATTCTTTAAGAGTATGACTATGTTAAATTTGTTTTTCCATTTGGAATTTATTGTGTCAGCTGCTGGTCTAAAACTGTTTTTGCCATATAGCCATCCAATTTCCCCAGCAGTTATTGCTAAAATAGTATTCTTTCCCTGGCACTTTATGATATGAGTTATGTCAACGATTAAAGTGCTATAAGCATTATCTTCTATGGCTTGCTTACCTATTTTCTTCCACTGAGCAACTTCTTATTTCTTATCCGTTACCAGAAAGTGTTCATAATTACTGGTTTATTATAGGATTTGAAATCAGGTAATGCCAGATCCTCATCATTCCTATTTTTTCATTATTTTCCTAGATCCTCTTCATATTTTGTTTCTTCTTATGATTTTTTTTTTTTAACTAAAGCCAGGGACTGGTTTTGCTTTTCTATTCCAGTACTTAGCATAGTGTCTTGCATGTATTTAGTGCCTAATAAATGCTTATTGATAAGCTGATTTGGAAAACCAGAGTAATAGAAGTATATTCACAAGAATACTGGGATGCTGTAGGTCAAGATCAATTTCAACTCTCACAGTTGTGACCATTGAAACCAGCAAATTCCTTATATAACCTTAGCAAGAGGAGGCTACTAACTCAACACTCACCATTTGGTATTCCTCCATTTGCAAGTAATGTTCAACAAGGAATCCATAGACATCCCCTATCCGGATAGTACTGTCCAGATCTGGCTCTTCTAGGAGAAGTTCACATTGCTTAACTGACTCTTTTGGATCTTCTGTGTAAGTCCTAGTGAGAGGAAAGGGTCTTTCTGAATCCCACATTCCTGATAAGGCAGTTAAAGGGTCCCAAATTCCCCACCTGGTTTATAAAGCATGTAAAATCTTACTAGGTGATTGTCCCTTAAGGAGTAGCTTTCAGGCCCTAGATATAGTGAAACTATCTCAGAGCTCCCTCACAGGTAAACTCTTAGTCAAGGGTACTTTCCTTATCAATATAAAAGTGATGAGGTGGATTTTTAAACAAACAAACAATGAACAAATCAATATTAATATGCTCATGCTCTTCCTTAAAGAGTATTCACCTCAGAATACCATTGCAGTCATCCTGCAGTTCTTCAAAAAATTACAATCCTTTGGGAGTTGCTTTCAAAGCTATTTTCCAAGCCCAATACTCTAGTCATCTTTTTTTGACCAAAAATGCCATTTGAAGCTCACTTTTCTAGTCAGAACTTGGTGTTGCAGTAGATACAGAGCTGGGCCTGGAGTTAGGAAGACCGGCCTCAGACACTTACTAGTTGTGTGACCCTGGGCAAGTCACCTAACTTCAGTTTGCCTCAGTTTCTTCATCTGTCAGATGGGGATAATGTAACAGCACCTACCTCTCCGGGTTGTTGTGAGGATCAAATGAGATGATAATTATAAAGCACTAGGCACAGTGGCTGACACATAGAAGTCACCATATAAATATTAGCTATTACTATAGCTATTATCAGATTTGCCCCCAAAATCAAATCTTTCAAAGGACAAAGATTTATTGTCAATGAGAATATATAAAAGAATGTGCCACTGGCATTGGAGGTGATTGCCATTAATCATTTGAGCAATGGCAACACTGTTGGAACAAGTTATATGGCTTTGAAAAGTGATTTATTCAGCAGAAAGATATTAAAAACCCTAGTGCTGCCTTTTGTTTCTGGTAG